TGAGGGGGTGTCAGTGGCACTTCCATCCAGACTAACATGGCCTGGGAAGAAAGGCCTGGGGACCCACATCTGATCATCAGCCAGCGAGACCCCTCTGGATCGCAACGGTCTGATCTGCAGCTGATCACGGGAAGGGCACGGGGCCAGGCGGCTGTGTGTTCAGTTACCCATACTCATGTGGTCACCGTGGGTCGGCCGACTCCACACTAGCTAACAATAACCACAGCGGGGAGCACAGTAAGCCAGTGCTCAGCACGTAACAGGCACTTAATAAATGTGCCACACAGTTTGAGCTTGTCTACTAAACCTGAAGGTTGATGTCGTTTGAACTCATCCAATGGCACCAAGGAAGAAAGGCCTGGCAATCTGCTTCTAGAGAGACTACGGACAGTTTTACTGGGTTGACACATGGGGACGATGTAAGTTTTGGTTTAATGTGCTGAAAGAATGAGTGAATGAACGAATGAGCTTGGTAATGTGATGAAGGACTAAGTAGCACATCCCAAAGGCTGGGACATCTCACTGAAAGGATCATAAATAGCATAACCATGGTTCGTAACAAAAATAATGACAGTAACTCCCCAGTCAGGGCAGAAACCAAAGGTACCTATGTGCTCGTGTGAATCTGTAAAAGAGCTGTATTCTCAACATTCCTTTAACCATGGAGCTGTTTCAGGCAGAATAAGGATATCAGAATATGCATGTTTCTTAAGATCACATTTTGCTTTTTTTAAAGTAGGAACACGAGTATTTTCATAGCCTGGAAAATCGTCATGAAGCAAGCAGTTGCTAATCAATGCAGATACCAGCCCCGAACATCTCGTTCGGCGAGTGGGCTGAATAAAGAGTGCTTGAAATCTTTTGACCTTGTAATATTTTCTGAAAATTCAAAGGCTAGAAGATATGAAAAGCTTTATTATGAATTTCCTAAGAACTGAATAAATACTATCTCACAAAATGGGAAAATTTTGATAGTATTTGTACTACTTACTGATACATTTTTATACATGCTGACGTTAATTATTCTCAAATAGGCTTTAACAGCGTTTTTGTTCCTAACATCCTAAGCTCCTCCTCATAACACCCCTGAGAAGGAGAAAGAAAACACACTTGAAAGCTTCTGGCAGAGGGAGCGTGAAGTGTGGTGCAATGGTTAAGTACCGGCTCTGAAGCCAGACGCCTGAGTGCACCCTGCTTTCCCCCCTACGAGCTGTGGTACCTTGAATATAGAAGTCAGTTCTTCTGGCTTCCTTTTCCTTCTCTCCTGGCAAAAACTACAGCACCGTTGGTAAAACACCAACCAACCAAAATACCAACCAGCCTTTGAGTCACGACTCATGGCAACCTCATGTGTACAGACCAGAACTTGCTGTAGCGTTTTCAAGGTTGTGACCTTTCCCAAGTTGATCACCCTGCCCTTCTTCTGACATACCTTTGGGTGGGTTGGAACCACCAAGCTTAACCAATTGTACTACCCAGGGACTCCTTCTACTTGTAAAATGAGAATAAGTCTGGCAT